CGCTCCATCCTTCCAGGGGCCCCAGCGCCAGCCTGGATCTCAAAGAGGGAACCCTGACTGTGGCAGACGCCACTACCTCTCCCTCAGAATCCTTCTTGTTTTCTATAGTAATCAAACCTTTAACGAAGAGCGTGAGTACAGCACAGGGCCACCAGGCCAGAGACTACATTTCCCAGCCTCCCTTGCAGCTAGGGGTGGTCATATGACTGTGGTCTGGCCAATAGAATAAAAACAAAAGTGCTTGGTACTATTTCTGGGTCAAAAGAATGCTGTTTGCCCTCCACTTTCCGCCCCCTCTGGCTCTTTGGGAAATGGTGGCAACTGCCACAGCGGCCTGAGACCCAGGTCGGAGCCTCATGTTGAGACTGGCAGACTCAATCTGGGTTCTCAGAGGACCACACCTCCACCTCATTTAAGCCATGATACCTTGGGGTCTCTTTGTTTCAGCAGCTGAGTCCATAACCTAACTACACACTGTCTCTTGACTAGAACTGGAAGGCCATGCATTACAGTGATTACAAACAGACTCTAGAGCAGGGGTGGGCAACCCCTGGCACGGGTGCCAAACATGGCACGCCAGTAACTTTTGCTGGCACACGAAACCCTCTCTTATAATCTTCCATTTACAATTTTTTTCTTAATATCGACTTTTTTATTTTTCAGATAAATTCAGTGTAGGTGCATCTAAGATAAATAATTTTACAAAACAAGTTAATCTTCGAAAGTCCCACTGATATCAAAAGGAGTCATAAAGTTTTCTGTTGGACTGTCAGTGTACATGTGTATATTAAAAAATAAATGTATTTTTCATCATCATATACTGTGTTTTTGTCGCTCGAATGAATGTTCTTATTTCTTCAAGGTTCTTCACATACGTACACCTTAAGAGATATCAAGTAGGCGTAACATGTTCTCAAAAAATTAGGGTTGGCACGCAGAAGAATTTTGAGTCAGAGATTTTGCTGGTTTTGGCACGCACTCACCAAAAGGTTGCCCACCCCTGCTCTAGAGTCAGTCCAGAATCTGCTTCTTGACTTACCAGCTGTGGTGCCCTGGACAGTTTACTTAACTTTTCTGTATCTCATTTTCTCGGCTATAAAATGGATACTGGGATCTACCTCACGGAGTTAAGGGCATTCAACCAGCTAAGGTGCAGAGGTCTGGCACAGGGTTCCTGCCTGATGAATTGTTATTTTATGTCCCTACAGTCCTGGTGGGCAGGAGTGTCACTCTCCTGAAGCCCCCCCCACCCCGACTCCTGGACTTGAGCTCTGACAGGAACAAATTCATCCCTGTCAGGCCGCAGCCAGTCTGCACTGGTTCCCTCACCCACCAGCTGGAAGGGACTGAACAGACACGAGCAAATAAGTTTGAAAACAAGCCAACCAGAGGATGTGGAAGCTGTGACATTCTGGGGCTTCTAAGCTCTAAAAATGGATCATTCAAAAAAAATAAACTCAGATTTCTAAGGCTCGTGGGCAGAGAACAGGGCAGACTGCTTCCCCATGCTGACTAATTAATTAAGGGAGGAGGACTTTCAGGGGAGCCTGGGAGGGGGAGGACTCGGGCAGATACATACACTCCCCAGTACCCATGGTACTCCCGTCCCCCAACATCTACCCACCTCAGATCAAGGGGGCCCTGCTCACCTCATCCCACTCCCCGCTCCCCCTTCTCCACTGCCGCCCCCTCCATACCTGTTTTCTTTGCCATTTGGCAACAGGGACGGGCGCTCAGCCCCTGGGCGTTCCGTGCAAACGTAGGTGTTTCTGCGGGTCATCATGCTGGGAGGGAGGTTGTTCTGTGAGAGACAGGGGAGGGGGGGAGTGAGGGCATGAAGGGACACTCCTGACCCCTCACTTTACCTGCTCTGGCCTCCCTCATTATGAACAAGGAGAGGCCTGTGTGTAAACTGATGGTTGACCCTGGACTAAAGGAACCAAAGACAGGAGGCTCCTGGGCCATCCCAGCAGTCCGGGCGGTCACAGGAGGCCCCCGGGGCTGGGAGGTTCCAGGGCAGCCTCGTCCACCTCTCTCCCGCCCACCACCCCTTGGGACCGACCAACAAACTTTTAGAACATATTCACGCTACACGGTGTCTCTGCTTTGCCTTGGCACAGACGGTCTCGTCTGCTTGGATATTCCTCCTACCTTCCCCCTGACTCACTCCTCTGTACATCTGAGGTGTCGCTTCATGATCTACCCCCACCCCCGGCTCCAGCCTGAGTCAGGTGCCGCCTCTGGCCTCCCCCAGGCAGCCTTCAGCACTCGGTGCTGCAACATCTGTTCCCGTGTACGTCCCTCCCTCACGGAACCGTGAGCTCTCGGAGGACAGAAATATCGTACTGGGATTATGTCGCCTCATAAACTGCACTGGGAAGTGAGCCCTCTTCTCTAACTCAGGCTGCTTGCCGAAGACTGGTGTTTTTTATGCTTGGAAGAATTCCGCCTGTTTAGAGCCATCTGGGCCTGGAATTTTCTTGATGGGAAAGTTTTCGATTCTGGAGTCAATCTCTTTAATAAGAATATGCGACTGTTCAGGTTTCCTATTTCTTTTCGCTCAGTTTGGCTCACTGTGTCTTTAAAGGCATTTGTCCATTTCAGCTAAGGGGTCAAATCTACTGGCTTAGAGTAGCTCCTACTACCTTCTTGCCGTCTCTTTATGTTACAGCACAGTCCCCTTTCCATCCCGATATTGGCAATTCGTGTTTGCTATCTTTTTCCTCACAATCAGTCCTGCTCGGGGTCCAGTGCTGTTACCAACCTTTCCAAGAACCAGCCTTCGGCTCTGTTGATTTTTTCTCTGACTTCTATTATTTCCTTCCTTCTCCTTTCTGGAGGGCTAATTTGCTGTTCCTTTCCTCCCTTCCTAAGCTGTGGGTTTATCTGAACACCAACAGTAGCTCTCAATGAGCGCTTACTGAGCCAGACACTGTGTGAAGGACTTTATGTACAAGATTCTCATCTCACAATGACCCAGGCTTTTTAATGAGCTCGTGTCACAGGATGGCGTCCTAAAGCTCAGAGAGGTCAAGTCACTTGCTCAAGGACACACAGCTCATCAGTGGAATTCAAACTTCGGTCTATATGGCTTCAGAGTCCGGACCACTTTCCTGGAACCTGCCTGCACCCTGGTCTCCCACTGCTGAGGGCATCTGGTTCCCCCAGCGGCACCTGCCACTCCAGGAAGCTACAGGAGAAGCCAAGTGCTACACTCCTCAGACTCGTCGGCAGCTCAGGTTCTGGACAGGAATGGGTCCTGCCAACCTTCGCACGCACGAAGCCCCGACTTCCGCTCTCACAGGCCAGGTCCTGCGGCCTTGGCTTGGGCAGGGCCCCCACACCATCTTCCAGGCGCTGGGTGTCACGGGGCCGCTGGCTGAGGGGTGAAGTCCTGGAGTCTCGCACGGCAGCCATGACCGTGTGCTCTGGAATCCAACAAGCTGCCGGCAGCCTCAGGGGGGCAGCTCCTGGTGGGTCTGGCCCGCTGACAAGGTGTCATTCCCACAGGTCTAGGCTTCTGCCTGCTTCTCCAGGCCTTCCTACGATTTTATAAGCACCACACCCTGTTCCCTCTATTAAATCCTCCTGCACGCTGTATGCCTCTTTCGGACACTGAACGCTAATTTACACACTAGCACCAAGCACAAGATCAGAAAAAGAGAGAACGCTCAGCAAATGTTTGTTGAATGAATGAGTGAGTGAACGGATGTAACCAGGAGTCCTGTGTGGTGGTCTGGGGAGCGGGATGGGAAACGCCGAGGTCTGAAAAAATGTGAGCCCAGGGGCACCTCCAGGCCAGGCCTCAGGTGGTCGTACCCGACCCTGCCCCAGCCCCGGCCACTCACAGGGGTGCTCGCGCTGTCCTTCCGCCGCTCCGGGATTTCTGCTTTGTTGGGGTTGTGGGCACTGCTGACCATCGGGCTGGAGGGGGGCAGCCCTCGGCTCCCGCTGCCCGCAGCGCTGCAGCTCGCCTTCCGGCTCGGCAGGCGCTCCTCCTTCAGCTCCGCCTCCCCCGTGCTGGTTGGGCTGCGCTTGGGGTGCAGGGGTGTGGGGGATGGGCCGCCTGGTGGAGGGAGGGGACAGTGAGGGCTGGCATCACCTGGAAAAGCCAGACCCTACACTGGGTGACCCTGGGGACCTCAGCATTCCTCCCTGGGCCATATCTCTGTGTAGGCGACTCTGACAGGGGCTGTCAGATTGACCCGGAAGCTCCAGGTGACCCGAAGCACGCGGAGGCAGGCGATGCACGGCATCATTCTTTTCTTTTAAGGCCTAAACACCGCTTAACAGGCAAATCCTATCTAATAAAAGAGCAATATGCAAATTAACCATCACTCCATCACAAAGATGGTGGCGCCCAGTCCCCTCAGCCCCACCGCTGAAGTGCCAGGCCTGTTGGCCAGGCAGGTGTGTGGGGGGCGGGGGGGCGAGTGCTGAGGCATCGCTGCTGGAGTATCCGGGCCTGTCACCTGGCCGGGGGCCGCGGGGGTGAGTGACAAGGCACGATCTGCTCACTCCGGCGGCCGATCCAGCCTTGCCGCTCTGCCGCCAACAGAGTGTCCCGAGGCAGCAGACACGGGAGGAAGCGAGGCAGCGGACACGGGAGGGAGCGAGGCAGCGGAGAAGGGCGGGCTTTGCTCCCTTCTCTGCTTCACTCCGGCCGCAGGAAGCCCTATTCTTGCAGGAATCTTCCTGCAACGGGCCTCTAGTAGTTAAATAAATCAAGTCATTCCACACAATGGAATTCTATGCAGCCTTTAAGAATGAGAAAGCTCTGCCCAGCTGATGTGGCTCATTGGTTGAGCATCGACCTATGAACCAGGAGGTCTCCATTTGATTCAGGTCAGGGCACATGCCTAGGTTGCAGGGTCAGTCCCCAGTAGGGGGTGTACAGGAGACAGCTGATAATGATTCTCTCTCATCACTGATGTTTCTACTTCTCTCTCCCTCTTTTTTCCTCTCTGAAATCAATAAAAATAAAAAAAATAAAAAGAATGATTATGTAACAATAGAGTGATCTTCAAGACGGACTGGGAAGCAGGCCTACACTGTGCTATCGTTTGCATAAAAAAGGAGAAAAGCGCCTATCTATACATATCTACTATATCACCTTTTTATATATGAATATCTCCAAAGCGCTATCATCTGCATCAAAAGAGGAGAATGTTACCTGTACAGTAAATTAATATGTTAACATAATGTTTATATCTTTGTATGTCCCTTTTCTTTCTCCTTTTCATCTTCTCTCTCTCTCTCTCTCTCTCTCTCTATATATATATATATAGATAGATGCCACACACACATTCATTCACCCAAGGATACTTTTCCCATTGATTTTTAGAGAGAGGGGAAGGGAGTGGGGAGAGGGAGAGAGGGGGAGAGAGGGAGAGAGAGGGAGAGAGAGTGAGAGAGAGAGAGAGAGAGAGGGAAACACCACTGCAAGAGAGACACGTTGATTGGCTGTTTCCTGCACGTGCCCCAACTGGGGCCAGGAATGGAACCTGCAACCCAAGTACGTGTCCTTGACCAGGAATCGAACCCAGACCCTTCAGTGCTTGGCACGAGGCTCTAACCACTGAGACACTGGCTAGGCCTACCTCATTATCTATAGATATAAAAACCTAATATGCAAATAGACCGAACGGTGGAACAACTGGTTGCTATGACATGCGCTGACCACCAGGGGGCGTGTGTGGAACTTGGCGGGTGTCAGCAGCAGGTGGCAGAGCACAGAACATGGCACGTGTCAGCCACAGTGGCTGGTTACAGAAAATCCTTTGCTCCCATGTGCCACGGTCCCACCAGGCGCTTGCATCTACTGCCAGTGCCAGTCCTGCTCGCACCCGCTGCCGGGGCCAGAGCCGCCGCTCGCACCTGCTGCTGGCGCCTGGCGCCGGCCCCTATCACTCGGCACTGTCAGTGGGTGCAAGTGGCGGCTGCAGGCCCTGATCACCCCTCAGGGCTTTTCCACCTTCCCCTGCTCCTGAGGGGTGATTTTGAATCATGACTGTTGCTATGAATAGCAAGTTGTCTAACCTGGTAGATCCCGGGGATGCCAAGTGATGGATGAGCTTCTGTTAATTAAAATAAAATGTCCATAACTCCCAAACTGTAGTTCAAGTGGAAGTAAACGATAACAATAAAGCACAGCTCATACCGGCCCTTATCTCTTGGTGCCATTAATGGGTGCAAGTGGCGGCTTCTGGCCCAGAATGCCCCTGAGTGCTTTTCCACCTCCCCCTGCTCCTGAGGGGCGATCAGGGCAGCAGCCGCTGCTTGCATCCACTCACAGTGCTGGCCCCAATCGCTCCATGCCATCAGTCGGTGCGAGCAGGGCTGGCACCAACCAGTGCATGGGAGCGGCAGCGGCAGCAGCTCCCGCTGGCAGACAGGGGACTGGGGACCAGGGCCATGGAGGGAGGGGTCAGGCGGGGGTGTGGAGGATGGCCTGAGACCCGCCCCTGGGTCTACCACAGCCTTGCAGCCCACAGTTCCTTTCAGGTGCACAAATCTGTGCACTGGGCCCCTAGTATATTTATAAGTAAAACCTCTTCAAAAGAATGTATCTTCAAAAGAATGTATATAATCAATGTATACTCAAATAAACTCTTGAAAGTTTAAAAACAACAAAACAATGTATATAAAACCAGCGACAGTGGCTGCCTCCAAGGAGAACGAATAGGGTGGGGGTGGGGCTCGCAGAAATGTGTTGAACGAAAACTATTTTACTGTTTACCCTTTACGTACTACCAAAATTTAAAGCCTGTGACTATTTTAATTTCAAAAACAAATCTGGCCCCTTAGAATGTCTTAGGAATTTATGGTTTCAGAACCAGGGGATTAAACATGTTCTAGAAGTTCAGTCAGAACTGCTAAATCCTCAGGAACCTTAATGGTCACCGTCCAAGGACAGTAATCTCCATGACGACAGACGGGCACCAACAGACACGGGTACCGTCAACAATCCTTTCCCTGAGAACCCTGGGAGCCCAGGTCTCCACGGGGGCTTTAGGGGGTATGGTGTTGTACCATAGGATGTTGGAGTCACGGCCTCTCTAGCACTTTCTGGGCCAGTCTTGCTATTTAAAGGGGGAGCCCTAGCTGGCTTGGCTCAGTGGATAGAGTGTCGACCTGCCGACTGAAGGGTCCCCAGCTCGATTCCAGCCAAGGGCACATGCCTGGGTTGTGGGCTCGACCCGCAGTGGGGGGTGTGCAGGAGGCAACCGATCAATGATTCTCTTTCATCACTGATGTTTCTATCTCCCTCTCCCTGCCCCTCTCCCTTCCTCTCTGAAATCAATAAAAAATATATTTTAAAAACAATAAAAAATAAAGGGGTGGGGGAGCCCTGGCCAGTGTGGCACCAGTTGGGCACCAACCCATGCCCCAAAGGTTACCAATTTGATTCCCGGTGAGGGCACGTGCCTGGTAGGGTGTTGTGGGCTCGATCCCTGATAGGGTGTGTGCAGGAGGCAGCCGATCAGTGTTTCTCCCTCTCTCCCCCTCCCCCTTTCTCTCTAATAATCAATAAAAAACCTTTAAAATAAAATAAAAAAGCGGGCGGCGGGGGAAGGAGACCCTGAGGAGGGGAATGGCTGCACCGCCCAGAACCACACTGAGCTCTGACACTCCTCTTCAGGTACAACCTGAGTTGGTCTCCAAAACCGAGAGGTAAGGAACGGAGGGCCTGGGAAAAGATAAGGTGAGATAAGGGAGAGAGGAAGGAGAAGCCAAACGGCAGAGGAAGCGAGACACCGACAGTGTCTGCCCTGGGTCCAGCTGCTTTTCCGGGTTCCGATCCTGCCCTGAGCCTGGCTGTGCATTCCTCCCCCAAGGCCGTGCGACGTCCCTGCATCTCTATAAGCAAGTCCTCTCTTCCAGGCGACGGACTCGAGCGGGTTGTTGCTTGCTACCCGAGAGCCTGACCGTGGGGCGGCCATACTCACAGAAGTCGCTGTGCCTGCGCTGGCGGTGGTAGGTGGAGGAGGAGCTCCGCTGCCCTTTGCTGTGGCTGGTGCCTTTGCCGGAGCTTGTCCCGTTGGTGGTGTCGCTGGGCGCCCGCACCCTTGCCAGGGCCAGTGCTGGAGCGCCCCGGTCCCCGCCCTCCTGCAGGAGGACAGACAACGAGCCTCAGCCCATGTTCTCTCGGCCCCAGAAGTCCCTCCACCCCAGGCAGCCCGAACCCCAATGCCCCTGGTGCCTCCTGACCTCAGTCTTCCTGCCCAGCAGGAGGTAGGTGGCGGTCACTTCGTTGTACTTCTGGCTCGTCAAGGCCTCTTTGATTTCTTCCCGAGTGTAGCCCATCCCCACCATCACCTCTGAGAGAGGGGGGTGGAGAGGCGGCTCAGGCCCTCAGCCTTCCTTCCCACACCAGCAATGCCCACTCTCTGGCTGGTCCAGTGCCCACTCCCCCTTCTGCCGGGAGGAATCTCATTTTCCTCGGCAGAACATCCCTTCCCACGCAGGTCACTCAGCGGATGCCTGCCTGCTCCGAGCCCCGAGGGCAGGAAGATGACCCAGGTCTGGCCAATCAGAGCATTCCACCCCCAGGGCCAAACGGACTGGCTCAGGGGCGGCCAATGGGCACCAGCATCGTGCTTTCGGCGGGACGGTAGGAAGTGGCTCTCTTCCTGACGAGGTGCTCAGACCACTAGGCTATGCTGCTGGCAGCTTGCTCCTGACTGAAGGGTCCCGGGTTCGATTCCGGTCAAGGCCACATGCCTGGGTTGCGGGCTCCATCCCCGGTGGGGGGGCGTGCAGGAGGCAGCCGATCCATGATTCTCTCTCATCATTGGCTTTTATTTCCAGCTTGCTCCTGGAAATAAAGCTGCCTCTTGGCAGGTTCCCAACTGCCTCTGAGCACCCGTCCAGCTGTGTCTGAAGGCTGCGTCCCCGCCTGTTTAGTTATGTGAGTAACGTCACTCTTAGGTTAAACCATATTACGTTGCTGGTATTGACGATTTTTAAGCAAACGGCGACTTTGTATGCTTCGACCTCTTATCATCATCGTCATCATCTGGTTTAAGCCAGAATGGCTTGGGCTTTCTGTTACTTGCAACCAGGGAAGTCCTGATTAAGGACCTTCTGACGGTGGCCTGTTTCCTCAGCTGTACAATGGAGGGTTACTGGGTGGCCCCGAAGGGGCTCTTCCAGGGCTAATGCTTTAGGGGTCAAGTGTTCGAAGGTTCTGGGCTGGAGGGATGGGGACCAAAGGAGTGGAGGGTGAGTCACGGGCCAAGGTAGGGATTGCCCCAAACTCGCAGATTGCCGACGGCTGTGCCCACACTCCGGAAGTGCTCCGACATCCGTGTGTGTGTGTGTGTGTGTGTGTGTGTGTGTGTGTGTGTGTGTTTAATATGCTTTTATTGATGTCGGAGAGGAAGGAAGAGAGGGAGAGATAGAAACGCCAAAGATGAGAGAGAATCATGGATCAGCTGCCTCCTGCACACCCCCCACCGGGGATGGAGCCTGCAACCCGGGCATGTGGCCTTGACTGGAATCGAACCTGGGACCCTTCAGTCTGCAGGCCGACGCCCTATCCACTGAGCCAAACCAGCTAGGGCCATTCTTTTGTGTTTTAATAGTCAGAGCTAACATACACCAGCACTCAGTATACGCCGGATATAAAGTGCGGTCTGTAGATTACACTCCCAATTAATATTCATGACGCCCTGTAGGACAGTTCTAGGAATACGCCGTTTTACAGACGAGGAAACAGACGCAGCGAGGAGGAAAGCCACTTGCCCAGGGCCACACCGCCAGGAAGCACAGCACAGGGACTGGCGCCAGACTCTTGCTCCCCCACGGCCTGGCCGAGTTGCTGAGGCACCAACCGGAGGGGTGGGGCTGGGGGGCTCCTCCCCTGGCCCTGGGGCCCGCGCTCGCTGACCCTCACCGATTCGCTTGGTGTCCCCGAAGTCCTCCTCCGGCTCTGTGTATGGCTTCAGCTCCTCACCCTCATAGCCGATATTGATCCATTTGTCTTTCATGATTTGCTGCAGGAATCGGAGCAGGGCAGGGAAGGGGGAAGATGTGTCAGGAGAAGCCAGGAAAAAATACAGGTTCCCACCCCCACGGCCTAGCATCCCAGAAGTGAGGGCTTCCTGAGAGTGAGCACCTCCTCACCCCATTTCCCACCCCCACCCCCCCACTGGAGCCTCCAGATGCCACTTCCCGCCCCCACATCATCTGGGTCCCAGCACGCTGTAATCATCCTAGAAGCTCATTAGCTAATTACTGGCGTGGCAGGGAGTGGGCGAGGCTGCTGGGTTGGGGGGTGCATCAGGATGGGTCTGGGAGCCTTTTCCTGGGCTGCCTGGCTCCCCCACCTTCCGGCCGAGGACCTCAGCAGGCGGGCGGGGAGAGGACAGGTGCAGGACGAGAAGGCAGCCGGGGGGTGGGGGCCGGCTCACCTCCAGGGTACAGCGTTTAGCAGGGTTCAGCACCAAAAATCTCCGCAGGATGCTCTCACAGTCGGTAGACATGTAGAAAGGGACCCGGTACTTCCCCCTGAGGACTCGCTCCCGCAGCTCCTGAGGGGACAGGGTTACTGGGGGAGGGGTCCGCCCGCCCCCACCCCTCACACACACACTCATCTCTCACTTCTGTCCCAGCCCTGGACGAGGTGGGTGAAGCCCCACCACTCCCTCCTGACCTCAGTTCCCCATCTGTAGAATGGGAGTATTGTGCCCAATGCAGCAATTTTCAAAAAAATATTACCAGTTTAAAGCTACATAACTTCTCATTCAGAGGAAACCTTACAGAGAAAGTGAATTCTCTAAGCCAGGTGAGAGGGGTGGCAGGTGAGTTAGCCTCTGGGCACAGTCTCTCTGTCTGTAAACAGGGACCCCAGCACCCACTTCAGGGGCCAGGGAGAGAGTGAGTTTATAGCAGTAAGTGCCCAGCACGCGCTAGGCCCCGAGCAGCCCTATTTAAATATTAGGTTTATAGAAGGGGAGGGGGAGGGGACCCCTGCCCTCGCCCTCCATCCCCGTACCTTCCCTCGGATGTGCCTGCCTGCCCTCTGAAGAGCTCTGAGGCTCTGCAGGTCTCAAAGGATGAGCTCTGGTCTGCTGACCTTTAAAAATAATTTTGTTTTGTTTTGTTAATTCTCACCTGAGGATATTTTTTCCACTGCTTTCAGAGTGGAAGGGAGGGAAGGGGGGGAGAAGAGAGAGAAACAGATGTGAGAGAGACACATTGACTGGCTGCCTCCTGCACACTCCCCGACTGGGGGTGGTGGGTAGGGAGCGAACCCACAACCCAGGTATGTGCCCCAAACTGGGAATTTAGGCCGAGACCCTTTGGTGCATGGGCAGGCGCTCTAACCAGTGAGCAACACTAGCTGGGGCTAAAATTTGTTACAATTTATTGATTGATTTTAAAGAGAGAGGAGGGGAAAGAGAAACAGTTTGTTGTTCCACTTAGTTATGCATTCATTGGTTGATTCGTATATGTACCTTGACTGGGGATCAAACCCACAACTCTGTATGTAAGGGTTAAGGCTCTAATCCAGCGGTTCTCAACCTGTGGGTCGCGACCCCTTTGCCGGTCGAACGACCCTTTCACAGGGGTCGCCTAAGACCATCCTGCATATCAGATATTTACATGACGATTCATAACAGTGGCAACATGACAGTGATGAAATAGCAACGAAAATAATTTTATGGTTGGGTCACAACATGAGGAACTGTATTTAAAGGGCCAGAAGGTTGAGAACCACTGCTCTAACCAGTGAGCTACCCGGCCAGGGCTATGTTGGCCTTTTTTTTAAGGGCTTTGTCTGAGGAGCCCTGAGGCTGTGCAGGAGAAAATGAATCCCACGCTCCATGGCATGGAGGACCAGGGAGAGCCCTTTCCGTGCTCCATAAAGACCCGAGGGAGAGAGAAATGGGGAGGGAGAAGCCATCTGCTGGGGCTGGGGCCGGGGCCGGAAGAGGCGTGTGCCTGGGCAGCCTCCTGGGTCTGCAGATCGTTACAGCCTGAAGGGTCGTGAATATTTCATCATCATGAGGATCGCTTTCAGGGCTCTCACCCCGCGACGCAGGGCTCTAAGTGCTTTCCGGATATTACATCTGTGTTCACGGTAACGCTGTGAACAGGGTCACGATGCCCGTTTTCCAGACCAGGAGCCTGAGGCCCAGTGAGGTTGAGTCACTTGCCCTGGGATTGTACAACCAGAACATGGCAGGGCCCAGGGCCCCGGAGCCTGCACTGTGTGACCACTGCACCGTCCTGCCTGTCACATGGCAAGAGCAGCCGTCGGGCCACTGCCATCACTACCAGAGCTGCCCCAAGCGTGGCGCCTGGCCAGATGCCAGGTCCCGGTGAAGGGCTACACACCCAGTGTGGCTGTGTCTATGGTCACTCAGCAAGGAAATGACAAAGCCAGGACTTGTCCCCAGCTGTGTGTCTCCTCTGCCCAGCAAGGAGGTGACAAGGGCCTGGGGCAGGGGAGCCGCTGGCCTGGTCCCTTGACAAGGTCTCCTGGCGCTGGCCGGTGGCACAGTGGTGGGAGCGTTGTGGTTTAGATTCCCGGTCAAGGGTATGTGCCTGGGTTGCAGGTTACTCCCTGCCCATGGGATGCGGTTCACTCCCTGCGTGCAGGAGGCCGCCAGTCAATGTGAGAGACACATCAATTCTTCTCTCTCCCCGCCTCCTCCCTCCCTCCCTCCCACGGTCTCTGAAAAAGCAATGGAAAACATCCTCTGGTGAGGAGGACCAAACAGAGAGAGGAGGGAAGGTCTCCTGGCTCATGCTTGGGGCGCAGAATGCTTGTTCTGCGACAGTGAGCCCTCTCCTGCCTCAGCTCAGCGCATGCTCGGTCGCTGCTACAAGCTGGTCCCGCAGTCCCCCCTGGACAGAGCGGGAGTCTGACCCTCAGAGCGGCCGCTGCTCAGCGAGACCACGGTGAAGGGCTCCCTCCCCCTCACCACGCGGCCTCTGCTGACGGCCTGTCCTCCGCAAGGACTTCCTGGCCTCCTGACCGTCCTCCGGGGCCACTGTGAGCAGGGCCGGGCGTTTCTGCTGTGAATCCCCACCCGGGTCCAATGGTGAGCACACACGGGCACCCCGAGGCAGGTTCTGCAGGGTAACTGGGCGGAACTGGACAGCAGCACCACGGGAGGAAGGACGTAAGAAGGCGGAGGAACGGATCCCAAGGGAAGGAGGCTAAAGAGACAGGACCAGAGAATGCAGCCCGGGGGCTGCTGGAGCAGAAAGGGGCCACCAAGGATGTTCCTGGGACGACCGGTGGAATCGGAGCACAGACCCTGGGTGAGGCCGGGACGCACCGTCGCTGGATTTGCTGAGAGTGAAGGGGACGGGAAAGGCCTGGTCTTAGGAGACACCTGCTGTACGTCACCTTTTAGGGATAAAGGACATCCTGCCTGCAACTAACTCCCAAAGGTCCCATTAATAAGGAGGGTGGCAATGACACGCCGTGAGCACATGGATACAACAACTGCGGCCGATGCTAGCGACTGGCGCCTCTCCTGAAATTTGTTCTCGCCCTGCGACCTTTCTGTAGACGGGCAATGTTTCAGAATAAAAAATTCAAAGAGAAAAGAAAACCACCGCACTAGAGCGTATCATACCTCTGCACTTCCGCACCTCCTCTGAGTCTCAGTGTGTGAAATAATACGTCGCGCTTACTTATTCGGTTTTTGGCCTGGCTGTGCTGCTGGAATGTCGGTCCACGAGGGCAGGGTTTTTTTGTTTTAAGGGCACAATTCAGTGGTTTTTAGTGCGTTCTGAGTTGTGCAATCATCACCACAATCTATTTTAGACCATTTGATCACCCCAGAGAAACCCTGTTCTCCAACTTCCCCATCCTCCCCAGCCGCAGGCAAACGCCACTCTGCTTTCTGTCTTATGGACATTTCACAAGAGCGGAATCACACAACGCGTGGACTTCGGTGACTGGCTCGTCCCACTCGGCGTGTGTGCAAGGACGGCCCCTGGTGTGGCACGTGTGAAGGCGGCGGCTCCTGCCTCTCTTGTCCACACAGTATCTGCAGCACCCAAAGCAGCCTGACCAGGGACGTGGGCAATAACAATGGACTGAGCGAGCCAGGATTTGAACCCCAGCCCGCCAGCCGCAAAGGCCCCGCCCTGAACCCCAACACAGCACGGTCCATCTGGGAGGCCCTGCCTGACCCCGCACTGTCACATGACCTCAGGCCAGCCCGCCCCTGTGCACGGGAGCGGTGTTGGGACAAGGCCCAGAGAGCTCCTCCCAGGAGAGTAAGACCCCGCGCCACCCCGCCCAGCACCTTGAGGTTGTGCCCGTCGAAGGGCAGGGAGCCGCTGACGAGGGTGTACAGGATGACGCCCAGGCTCCAGATGTCCACCTCCGGCCCGTCGTACTTCTTGCCCTGGAACAGCTCCGGGGCGGCGTACGGGGGGCTCCCGCAGAACGTGTCCAGCTTCGAGCCCAGCGTGAACTCGTTGCTGAAGCCAAAGTCGGCGATCTTGATGTTGGCCTCGGCGTCCAGCAAGAGGTTCTCGGCCTGGGAGGGAAGGAGAGGGCCGAGGGTGGGCGCGTGCGGTGGACAGGAGCACGGGCGCCCAGACTGCCTGCGGCCTGGCCCTGACTCCGTGTGACCCTGGGCAGCGACTGACCTCTCTGGGCCGTGGTTTCCTCCTCCACAGAACGGGGATAATCACAGTCCCTACTTCAGAGAATCGAGTGAATCTGCATAAAAGGCCTAGAACAGTGGTCGGCAAACTGTGGCTCCCGAGCCACAAGTTGCCGACCACTGGCCTAGAACGATATTCTGCACCCGGTAAGCGCCATGTAAATTTAGCTATCATTGCCCACGTGGTCTGCAGAGCTGGGGGTCCTCAGGCCCACGCCTGCCCTTCTCTGAGCCTCAGTTTACCCAGCAGAAACTAAGATGAGACTGACTATTCAAGACCCATAAAAATGAAAACAACCATTTTATCTAACACTCATTACACACCCACTACACACCAGGGGCTGTGGACTATCATTTACTTTATGAGTGGCTGCATGACACCGGGTTAAAGAGGACAGATTCTGGGAGGACCTCGGTGTCAAATGCCATCTCCGCCCTCACGCTTGGTGTCTGGGAGGGAGGAGAGGGCCGAGGTGGACGTGTGCGGTGGACAGGAGCACGGGCGCCAGACTGGGGTGGGCTGCCAGACTTCTCTGTGCCTCCGTTTCCCGTGTAAGCTGAGGATACCACATCCCCTGCCTCAGAGGCAGTTGTGGGGTGAAGCATACTGCACCCACCATGGTGTGTGGGACACAGTCGGCACGCACACATCTCCGTACAGTTAAGGGTTTGGTCTGGCTTTGGCGGCACGTGTTCCTGTAATCGCCATTCACAGTCGAGGAAACGGGGGCTCAGGGAGACGCCTCATGTCCACGGCAAGACGGCGGCAGGGATGCATCCAAGAGGCCTGGCCCCCCGCAGCCGAGCGGGGAAGGAGCCGCAGCACCTGCCTCTCCCGCTTTGTGACTAAACCCAGCGCACAATACCCACCTTCGGTGTGGCCGTCCCAACCTCAGCCCTGCCCGGGCCCAGGCCTCTCTCCCTCCTGCTGTAGTTTGGAGACCCCTTCCCCATCTCTGACCCAACAGGGGGATAAACCATCTCAGAGCCTTCCCCAACCTCCACCCAGCTCTGAGGTGGCACTGCCCTTTGTGGCGTTTGGTGAAGCTCCGCTGGACGCCCCTGGTCTGGTCTGGGCTGGGCTGGGTGGTCCCTCTGGGGCACTAATCAGATCCTGAAATCCAATTGTTAGCCACTTCCAGGACCCTCCACCAGGGGGCGCGCCTCCTCCAGGCTGATCGTCACCATCATTGTTACCCTCACAGGGCACCTTAGAGGTGGGGGCTCTGAGAGTAGGGGGTACTTCAGGGCAGCACAGGGAGAAGAAGGGGCTTTAAGGAACTTCTCCAGCCATTTGACAGTGGAATTTTACGTTTTTTGAATCTGATAATAATTTTAAAAGTTGGGCTTGTATTTTGTACATCTTTTTCCATTTCATTTATTGTACTTTACCAAAGTCCCTGTCCGCACCGGATAGGGAAACAAAGCTGGCCCCTTCTGAAGAGCCTTGAGAAGCCCTCCTTCAAAGCACAGGGCCTGGCACATGGTAGGTGCTCAAGGAATCCGGCAAGCCGACTCTATTCGGGGCACACAAACGTTTCTCTCTCGGGTCTAAGACGAGAAGTCCTGAGATGTGGGGTTCTCTCGGGTGGGAGGTGTGGAACAGGGACCCCGGGACCCGAACTACGAGGGGCTGCCCCTACTCGGCCGCTGAGGCCCCTACTCGGCCTCTGAGTCCCTTCTCCGCCGGGCACTAGCCGTGAGGGTTCTCCTGCAACGTCCTTCTCGAGCCCGAAGATGCCCGGGAGGTGAGACCTGGAGGCAGGGTGACTGTAGGGCTTTGAAATCTCAGTTCTCAAAGGTTCCCGAATGTTCTAAAGTCTGGCAGCCAAGGCTCTGAGTGACGGACTCTCTCTCGCCCAGTGTCCTTGTCACCCAGTGTCCTTGTCTGGGACACACGTAACCGCGGCGTCTAGGACACTCTGTTTCTTCCTCTTTGTTCCTCCTGACCCCACCCCTGACTCGCTCCCCGCTCTGCTGGCCTTGCTTTTGCCACGAAAGGCTTGGGACAAGGCTTGGGACGAAGGCCAGGGCCCTGGGTGCTGAGGGAGGAGCCTGTGGAGAAAAGGTGGACTGTGGAAGAGGGTACAGGCGAAGCCCGGGGGACCGGAGGGGGGCTGAGCTGGGAGCTGGTGGTGGGGAGGGGGGCTCACCTTCAGGTCCCTGTGGACAATGTTTTTCTGGTGACAGTAGTGCACAGCCGATACAATCTGGGGGAGAGGAGGGAAGGTCAGTTACCTGAGGCCCCCTGCCCCCCAGCTTCCCTCAGGGACCCTGTGAGCCCACTCACACGGAGGCTCTGGACCCAGGCCTCCCCGAGACCCAGGCCGATGCAGCACTTGCATATCCCATCGCCCCGACTCAGTCACAGCGGGAAACGCTGCGGGACCTGCAGACACACACCTCCCCTCGGGCACCCAGCCCTCACCCGCAGATATCAGGACACCCTCCCGGCAGCGACATCGGAGCAGCACACGGGGACTAGCCCCGCCTGACTTTCACGTCTGGACACATGCATGAGGAAGGGGCACACCTGCAGGTGGACCCGTGGTCCCCCACACCAGGGCTGAAGCCCCCCACGTCCCAGGGAGCTGTGTCAGGACTGCTGGACAGTCATGGGCTGACACCTGCACTCAGATCCCTGTACCCATCAAACCTACACCTGCTAAGCACTTGGCTGCCGGGCACCCTCACATCTGTATTCCCTCTTACCCACACACTTGGGCACCCTCGCACCTGCGTGTCTTTTCCCAGCACCCCGACATCTTCACACCTGCATGCCCTATTACTTACACCCCATTGCCACATACACCCCATTGCCACATACACCCCATTGCCACATACACCCCATTGCCACATACACCCCATTGCCACATACACCCCATTGCCACATACACCCCATTGCCACATACACCCCATTGCCACATACACCCCATTGCCACATACACCCCATTGCCACATACACCCCATTGCCACATACACCCCATTGCCACATACACCCCATTGCCACATACACCCCATTGCCACATACACCCCATTGCCACATACCTGGACAGCAACACCTTCTTATCTACCTGGACATCCTTACACCATACACTCTTGTTCACCAACCTATATACCCACACCTGCCCCCCGCCCCCATACGCTCAGGCTGCATGCACACTTTTCCCCACACATCGACACACTTACAAACCTGGTTCTCACACATCTTCAAATCCACACTCCTCCACTCACACCTCGGCACCCTGGCACCTCCAGGTCCCTTTAGCCACACTTCCACACCCTGGGCACACCCTCGCACCCACATTCCTGACACCTGCACACCTGGCACCGTCCTGCCTGACTCTCTCACCCACTGAACTGGGCACCTGCACAGCTACATCTGGATATCTTCACACCTGGGCATCTGCACACCCATGGACACCCAACTCTCTACCTTCACCCCCACCCCCCCTCCCCCGCCGTCATTGGACAATCCGGATCCACGCCCAGCAATCAGACTCTCGTCCCCAGGGACCCCACCCAGCCCCACCCACAGCCGTAACCCCAACCTGTCGGAACTTGGCTCGAGCTTCCTTCTCCTTCATGCGGCCGTGTGACACGAGGTAGTCGAATACTTCTCCTGCAGGGCAGAGGCCAAGGGGGTGAGGGTGGGGTGTGGAGGGGGTGCAGGGAGCAGGGTGGGGCGGGGAGGGCCTCACCAGCACTTGCATATTCCATCACCAGGTACAGCGTCTTCTCAGTCTCGA